CATTTTTAAAAATGACGTACACTAACAGAACCATTGGTGATTGTTTTTTCTAATTCTATTAATTTACTATTTTTATCATATTATTCTAATATTCACATTATTCTATTTCATATTTAGTTACCAATGGGTCTACCTACTCCTTCCTTAAGCTCTGCTGATACGACAAAACTTATTCGATCAAACAATTAATGGTTGACTGATAAAATGTTTTTTTCCAACTGTTCTATATATAGTTTATATTGTATAACTGTATTATGTTCAGTTCACAATAAACTGCATAGTATAAAAGATAAGCTATTGTATTTACTATTACTAATTATATTCTTTCTTGGTTTACCACACTTAGCTACTTGAATATTTCCCAATTACAGTTTTCTGGAAACAAAAATGTTTGACAATTAACTTATATTTTCTTACCAATCATATTGATAAAGGTACTGTAAGACTAATGATGAAATAAAGTTGCGTTTTACATTAAATAGCGTTAGTTAAATTACAGTTTGTTTTGATTTACTACCCGTTTGTTAGAATGTAAGAAACTTAAAGCTTGTACTATTGATATGCTAGTGTAAAACTTCTAATATTAAGGTGCTATTGTAAAACCTAATAATAACATAATAACATTCTAATATAAAGACGTTAATGTAAAATGTGTAAATATTGAGATGCTACCATAAAACTTGTAACACTGAGATGCTAGTGTGAAACTTGTAATATTGAGACGCTACCTGTAATATTGAGATGCTAGTATAAAACTTGTAACACTGAGATGCTAGTATGAAACTTGTAATGTCCTCCGGTGGGACAGCGGTAAGCCTTCGGATTTGTCAATGCTATAATCAGGGGCTCGATTCCCCTCGGTGGGCACAGTTAATAGCCCGATGTGTCTTTGCTATAACAAAACACACCATAAAAAAAAACAAAGTTGTAATATTGAGGTGCTAATGTAAGAGTTGTAATATTGAAATGCTAGTGTAAAAATTACAATAATGAGATGCTAGTGTAAAACTTATCCACGGATGACAATGACAGTTGATCTCGATTTACGGAAATGAAGATCTTATAGAAACATCGCATGCAGGAGATGACAAACTATTCTGTATTTGAAATGAAAAGGATGCCACAGTGAGAAATGTGGTATCTATTATAGTACTTTGAATTATTTATTAGGCAATATTCGTAGACAAATCAGCATGTTATTTCACTGTAAATTTTTACCTACTGTATGTGTAAAGAAGTAACAATGTGGTGCGCTCTCAGAATTCTCAAACCTTTTTTTACTTCCGCTTATTATATGCGCAATATACATTAACTCGTTGGAATTAGGAAATATAGTTCAGAAACATTTTTTATACCCTAAATACGTGTTTTCCCTTTCTGTTTCCATATCGATAAAATCACTTATTATATCAATTTGATTGTATTAGTGACAAGAGTGGGACGCTGTGTTTTATAAACGAGAAACGCTAGTTTACATCTAGTCCCACGCTGGCACGACCTCTTAAACGACCGATCTAATCTGGGCTTTTACAGAAGCTAAAACGTCCGCGTTGCGGCGCTTGGTACGGTTTAATAATGTCGAATTTTGAGACGAGGTCGTAGCTTTAAAACAAATGTCCACTTTCACTATCGGTGCCATGACTGAAAGTATATATAAACTGCTTGGATAAGGTGCTTTTATCAGTCTCAGGTTTCTAGGACCAGAAGAGCGACTAAGTATCTTACTGCATTACCATTGTTTGTGGTATAAGTTGTTTACAATGCTGACAAAGGTAGGTTTTACACAGTGCAAACAATTAATTCATGTGCATTTATAAAACATGCATTTCCTATTTCTTTATACATACGTGTGAAAGGAAAATTAATGCTAGAAATCTAGGCCATGAACATTTATGGTATATGTTCATTCTAAAAGTTCATACATTAGATTTGTTATATTAATATTTCTTTAAAAAATATTTATAGCTACTTTTATTTTAATATCTCCTTATCTCTGAAAATGTAAAATATTTCAATAGGTTGTACTCTTCGCTGCCATCGTTGCCATGGCATCTGCCGGTTATTTATACCCAGGAGGTTACGGAGGTTATGATGGTTACTACGTACGTATGCAAGCTGATTTGCTTTTCTTTTTTCTCTTACAATTCCAAATTTTTATATATATATACATTAAATTATCCAATTTAGTGCTTACTATGTAACGCTTTTGGGTTGTTTTCATATAGCGTATATTTTGTATTCCAGAACAATAAACTTAAATTCTGACATTTGCAAATTCTTACATTTGCTGGAGTAATTATAAACAATAGATATGTCTAATCTATCTATATATATATATATATATATGTCATCCCATTAAATGTTAACTAAGTTCTGAGAAATACGCATTAAATGGACAAGTTATTCCTAGAAATTGTTAGATTTGTAATAATAAGGTATTAGATTCGTAATAATTTTACTGTTTTTACCTAAAGACTTTATTATCATTGTTGTTTTTACAGTACCCTCAGCCTTACAATTATGGATACGACGTCGTGGATGAATACGGTAACCAACAATGGAAAAACGAGCAGAGTGACGAAGGAAACAATAAGGTTGGTTCCTATGGTTACCGAGACGCTTACGGTGTGACTCGCCAGGTGAACTATGTTGCTGATGGCTACGGCTTTAGAGCCCAAATTAAAACAAACGAACCGGGTACAGCGAACCAGAATCCCGCTGATGTTTACATCTACTCTGATGCCGAATATTACCCTGGTCACTGATATCCACACCAAGCACCCATTTCCGTAACTTATTTCTAGGTAAGTTAAGACCGATTTTTTGGGCTTATTATTCAGCACATTTGATTTGTGAAGTTTAAAACAGTATTAGGGTCTTTTTGCTGAAATAATTTTCTTGTATTTGCAAGGTGACTTTTTCATTTACTTTATCTCCCCCTTTTGTTCGTATACTCCATCGTATAAATCATACATCATTTATAACAAGATAATTTTGTCACAATTACAATAAGTGTAATAATACAGATACGAAAATATAAATATTAATACGAGCAGAAAAACCTATGAAAATTTCGACACTGTAAATAACTATTATACTATAATAAAACGCAATAAGTTTAACATATCCATTTGAATGTGTATCATTCTCCATACAGGTATATAAAGGCTTTATGCATGCAGAACCGAAATATAGTGCTTTAGTGAGCTTGGGGGATGTCATATATATCCACTGCCCGAAGGACCTAGACGCCAGAATGCTTGATGTTCGAACAGTATCTCAGCTTTAAAGAGGTCATCACTAAAACCTGCACAGCCATTAATGTGATTGTAATGTGTCATTGTATAAGCTCGAAAAATATGTAGAACTCGCTTTTCTTTTCTTACAGATACATGTAATGAATACGCATTCACAACGAAAGTTGTGCTTTTTGTTATTTTTAATGATTACCTGTAAATAAATGTGAAAATATTGTTCGCATGTGATATCGTTTCAGAGTAAAATTGAGGCTAATACAACACATAAAGTAGTTAATATACATAGCTGTTGACCTTTTTATTAATATTTTTGATCAATGATTATATGATTTATTTTATTAAGAACATATAAAATCAAACACCTGTTGCAACATAATAATTACTCTTTGAACTTTAAAAATCATCTATTTTGTAATTTTATTAATCATCAAGACATATCCTAAACATACAAACACTAAAACTATTTGTTAAGAATATGAAGCATAGTAAACAATAGCAAACATGGACCATGCTTTCCATGAGTACATATTAAATGTATCAAAATATATTTTCATGACAATGTTTCATTGTTTCCTCGTCTATATATCGATAATATATAATTTATTTACCTAATTCATTCCATCTACTTATATGATTTTAGAGCTATGTATTTTCACAACTCTACACAGCCAATACGTCTTTCCAGGTCAACCAAGATCGGATACGTATTCAAACACATACATAATATTTATCCACAATAAAAAAACTCTGTAGTGCTTTCTACTATAACATACTTATAAAAACATATCATTCTCACGCTATTAAATGAATACTTTAAAAATATCTTGAACAATGTTTTTTAATAGTTTAATAGGTCATAATATAGCTTTGGAAAAATCAATGTTCTCTCTCTCATATTGCTTGTTTCTAGTAAGAGGAAAAATTATGGATAAATAAGACAAAACAACACATTTTGATTAGATCTGTGAAACAGTTGTATTCCTTGGCAATCAGATTTTTTATTTTATCATTACGGTTATCCTAAGTAAATATGAATTACTTAACTATACTGTGGCTTTTTAAATGAACTTTGCATTAACATAAAATATACGTTAATCTTGGCAAGATTATTGCTTTTACAACTACTTTCTTTTCAAAAAAAAAATAATCTTCTTCCACGCCAATTTGTAATACATGACAGTATCATACTTGATCAACTTAAATCCAGTACGAAATTATGCTGTAAATATAAAGTCTGTGTAATAATATTTCCTGTAAGCTGTAAACGCTGTCTTTGCTAGAGTAAAACAAAATTCAAGATAATGATTTATACTAATCATTTGGCACAGTTTTTCTATCTGTTGTAGGCTGCAACCAACGAAATGTAATCCTTATTTTATTATGTATTAAGGAAATTCATTCATTTCTAAATAATGATGTATTATTTCACACTAAAAACTATCAGATCCTGTATATTTTCTTCCATACTTTTAATGTTATATAAAGATCCAATTGATATATAATCAGTTTGTCTTATTCTTTCAAAAAAGTAGTTATATAAAATTAATTTTCCTTCAAAACGTTAAATAAGAAAAACTGCGTGGTTATATTTTATACCCATGTTTCAATGAATACATTTAACTTGAGAAACAAATGGTTTTGGAAGGTGATTTACACAATATTTTCAGGAGTGAAATTATTACATTTAACATTAAGTAGTTTGAAAAAATATTTTCCTAAGCAAAAGCGAAACCTGTTAATCTCGATGCATGTTTCTACATGGGTTTCAAGCAAAGCAAAATCATAAATTGATATTATATCTTTGTTGACTCAAAGATGAGATGTCACACTCCCATGGAGATTTTGTTTAAGCATAGAGAAAGGTGAACAAGAATCAAAGTTTTATCTAGTCACTGCTTTGTCCAAGGACAAAATTTATTTTCACGAAAATAAACAAAATGATAGACTTTATCAAAAGATATTAAAATTCTTCTTCAATTCGAAAATGGTTTTACTTTAATCAAATCCAAATTAAAATATATTAAGATTATACGAAAGAAAATAACCTCTTTCATTATCATTTCAAAGGACTGATATGTAGTATGCATAATTAAGAGTTTTAAAAGTCCTCTGAGAAATTAAACCCATAACTAACAACAACGCTTTGTGCATAATTTCATAACTCAAAAACAAGAGTCTTTAATTATTACGTTTTCTATATTATAACTACAGCAATAGAACGTGTTTTTTTTAAGTTATCAAATCAATGAACATCACCAGAGTGGCATAGTAAATTCTAGAATTCAAAAATATTTAAACTGTGAAATTGGTTCTGGATCCAAATCAGATAATATCCCTATTAAATCCTCATTTTAGAACAAATTTTATTCCCATAATACAAAAGAATATTATATGTTCGTAGCTCATAATAAGACAAAATCTTTCCTTAAAAATCAATTAACGTTACCAGAATGAAACAGAAGCCTAATTTATATATGAATTACATCATAATAATGAGATATAGTTTTTAGATCAGAATTATAAATAGTAAAAGTCAACCGAAAATACATTAATCGTTGTTTGTAAATCAACGAACTTAACGAGAATGAGAAAGCGTCTATCATTTAACTAAAGTAGTGTTACTACAGAGGTATGGGAGAACAGATTTGTTTTATAAATCATAAATATCACCTTTATGAGGCAAAGTTTTAATATCTAAGTAAAACTAAAATTAACAGATCGAGACAGGATCCTATTTCGGTAATCAGATAGATAAAAAACAGAATGCAACAAAGTCATGATTGTTAAAGATTTAACATTATCAAAATTAAACACACCCACAGTTTATTTTAATGAATTAATGGCATAAGAATGAGGTAGGAATATAATTAAATATATTTATTAATAGAAAGGTACAACGTCCTAGCTATTGAATCAGTTGCAATCACTGGAATAAGATATAGTATATTAGTTATAAAACATTACCAGAATAATAAGACAGGTTATTGTGTTTTTAATCATTTAATATCATCGAATTGAGAAATAATTATAGGTTTTAAGATCATTTAAATCCATCAGTATAATCAGAATGAGAAAGGAACCTACTTATTAACTCAGCTTTGTTCCTCCTATAAGAAATGTTGCCTTGATAAGTAGTATATCAATACTAAGTAAAAACTGTCTTGAATAATTGGCTTTCTATTTACAATCTAGATCCCTAAATTTGCTTTACAGTATTTGCTACTTCAGCAATCTTTACAGAAAACTTAAGTTGTAAGCTTAGTAACTTCTTCATGCTGTGAGCTTCTGATCAGATAATTCACCCTAAAGGATTGAATATGGGTGTGGTTTCGGTACTTTAATTTAATGAAGGCAACGCAAGATTGTAGACATATCGTTCAGATTTGATCCTTCCCAGGAAGACTAAATTATATAGACACTAAATTTTGTGATGTCTCAATTTGTCTTTAGAGTTAGTGTAATTATAAAACGAAGGTTTTCCTGTACATTTCTTAAGTAAATAAATGTTACTTTTTGAACATACATTTTGTATTTCTAAATGAAATTTAATTTTATTCTTATAATTTCTCAAACATTATTTTGTCTTAGTAGCATTTCTTCTAAGCCAATAAGAAAATTATAATTAAACGACAGAAACTGTAACAAATACACTTAATAGTAATTGTATTCAATAAGCTACATTAGTTGCTACATTTATATATTTAAAAAAAGCAAAATTATAGAAGGTAGCACGTGACTATCAAAATTTTAGTTGGTTAGTGGTGTAATTACATTGATATATTCATAAGTGAAGACTATTACGTATGTGTCATGTAATAGATCATTATTACAATAATGATAATGTTTCTCGAAACATATTTTTTCCTAAAGTAATTTGGAGTCACTAAAAATAACATAAGTAAAAACAATTTTGATAGAAAATGTAGTTGTTGAAATGATGTACACAAACACAGAACGTCTTTATTAAGTATCAATCAACAAACCAATCCAGATATTAATACACGTGTGTTAAAACAGGTCGATATTACTGTGTTGTCAAATATATCACACATCTGTAGCACATTTCCTTGAACAGCTTGCTTTATTAAACATATTTCGTACTTCTATTATATTATAAACGCCAAGCATTGCAAAGAAATGTGTTTACAAGTTAAATATTAAAAGAAAGAAAATTTTATTTATGTCCTGTAGAAACACACACACACACATATATATATTAAATTTTATTTGGGTAAAACAAGTTAATAGTTGTTTAGAATGGCCAATTTGTTTCTCTAAATACTTAATTTAAAAGTTTTCCTTTTATTTATAGAATTACTGCAGTCCATTGATCATGTTATTTTTCTCGGTTTATCCTTGTTATGTTTGCTCTATGTTGAATTTCATGAAAAGCTACTCGAGGACTATCTGCGCTATCCGTTCATAATTTAGCATTGGAAGACTAGAGAGAAGGCGGTTAGTCAACGTCACACACCTCCAACTCTTGAGCTACTCTTTTAC